TCCTGCTGTTCTTCCTGCCTGCCCTGCCTGTACACAAGGGGAAGCGAGTGGGAAGGGTGTCTCTGGCCTACTGCACTGTTTTGGGTGGGGATGCCAGAGGACACGCTCCCCACAGCCATGATGCAGCCAGGGGAGGTAACCCCAGCAGCTCCTGATGATCATCCTGGCACAGAAGGCTGGTTGTGGCCCCCCTGGGATGGGGTGCTGGGATGGGTGCTGTGGAGCAGGACTGACTCCCAATGGGGGAAAAGCACGGGTCCCTGCTGTGCCCTGGCTGGAGCAGCTAACTGGGCAAGGGAAACCCTCTGCCTTTTTCCTGCCCAGCCTTGCTCTATGTTGGCTCCTGCCCGCACTCCTGCAAGCTCCCTGGCCCTTTGAATCTGCTGGCAGGATGTCTACATGCTTCTGCCATGGCTTCATTGCTGGCTGTTAGACCCATATTTGGTAGCAATAATTGTTTACTCCCTTCTTCTCTCTCCCTGTGCCTCACTGCTGAGAAGGGGAGGGGAGGTATTTTGGGGGATCTTTAGCTTTGTTGGAGCTTGCAGGTTGCCCAGTAAAGGGTCTGAACTCCACCCCACCACCCTCCTGCAGACCATGGGATCAAACCCCCCAAGTGCTAAATGAGTGGCTGCTGTTGCACAGCATATATGATGGTGTGCAGTGAGCACCAGCTGAGTGCATGGCTTGTTCACTGAATGGCAGTGATGGGGGCTTGGTGCATCCTGAAGTGGCACATTCTGGCAGATTTGGGGAAGAGGAGCAGGAAGGCTGGGGAATGAACCTGTGGGGTGCCCTCCTTTTCGCTGGCTGAGCATGCGGTCCTGCGCTTGCTTGCCCCTGTGGCTGTCTTGGTGGTGGGCAGCCTGGGGTGTACTGCTGTTTGTGTCCCCCCCCTTTGGAGGGCAGGAGATGCCCATCAGGAGGGGACAGGCCTGGGGATGCATGAGAAACAACAGCAGTTAATAGCCAGAGCTGCTTTACCCAAGTGCTGGTGAGCTTGTGAGCTGTGTGCGCCTGTGGCTGTGATCCCCCAGCCCCACTGCCCTTCCCCTGCCTGTTTCCCACACCAAGCTGGGCTGCCTTCCCTGCAGGGGCAAGAGGATGCTCCTGCCTCAGCTGCAGGTAATAGCCAGGTAGTCGCAGAGGTGCCATGGAGCTGGGCTCACCAGCCTCTTACATTCCCCAGGAGCAAGCTTGGCTCTGGCTAGAAGAAACCATCTCACCGTCCAATGTGGCCACACAGCTAGGAAAGAGGAAGCAGGCTGAATTGGCTCAGCAGTGTGCAGCATTGTCACCAGCCAGGGCTGCAGGCTCAGCCTTACTTTCCATCAGTGTGAGGCTGAGCCACCTGTGCCCCCAGTGCCTGCTGTGGCTGTGTATAGTGGTCTCAGACTGGAGGACCTGTCCAGAGCCAGGTCCGGCTTCTTACTGGGTTAATTTTTGACCTGGTTCCTTCTGCTGGTGTGCAGGCAGAGCTGCTACTGGCAGGTGTTGTGGTGGCTTGGGACCTGCCTGGCTGTGCCAGCAGCCTGTGGAAAGCCCCAGCAGTGGGGTGGCTTGCAGCTGATAAAGCTTCCTGCGGCCAGCTCCCAGCACTGCTTCGCTCCCAGCCCGGGGGTGGTCCAGAGCAGGGTCTTTCCCAAATGAAATTTGGCATTGCTGTTTAAAAAGACCAAATAAACAAAACAAAACAAAAAACCCAACAACCCACACACACACACCCACAACCCCAAACCTCATCTGGAGTCTCCCTCCTGCCGTGAGTGTGCCAGCAGGCTGCTTCGATGCTATTGATCTTTTTTTTTTTAAGATATACAACCTCTGTAACCATTCTTGCAATGTTAAACTCAGCCAATACAAATATAGCAGTTATGTCATGTGATGGAAAACTCGCTCTCAGTGGTCCCAGCAATGATGCAGTGGTTCCTCAGGTTGGTACGGTGCTGGCTCCCTGCAGCTGTCCCTGCTTGTGCTGCCCTGGCTTTAAGCAGAGTCCCAAGCCAGGAGACCTCTACCACCACAGTGGTTTTGCTGGGACGACTCCTGAGGGGGTTGGACCCCACCAAGAACTCTCCCCCCCCCCATTTTGGGATTGGCTCGGGAGCGTGCTCGTGGTTCAAAGGGTTGCACACAGCTTGCCATGAAATGCAGAAATGCCTTAATCTGGCTGCTAGCTGGCTAGCTTGCTGCTCTAGTACCTTATCTGCCTTTGCATACCGACAACTGGTTGCAAATGGGTTTGCTTGCTCTAGAGGCAAGCCAGCGCAGAAATTTGGTGTGTGTTCATTGAGACTTGGTTTGTTTGGGTGTTTTGGGGTTTTGTTGTTTTTTTTTTATTTCCTTTCTACAGGGACAGCTTGAATTTCACTGTCCTTTTCCTTTATTTTTCTGGTTTACAGCACCGGGCTCCCACACTGTCCTGTAACTTACATCTCGTCTGGCTTTTCCTTCCCCACATGGTACCCGGAGGATAGAGGTGTGCAAGGGCTGAGCCCTGCATCAGTGCCCTCTCGCAGGAGGAGGTGTGCAGGCAGATTTGCAAACCCCATGTGATTAATTGCCATGTTTGCTGACAAATCTCTCCAGGGTTTGAGGAGGTGTACTTCTTGCAGAACAGACAGCATTTCTGCTTTAGACATTGATGTCAGCAAAATTCAACTGCTGTATCCTGAACTGTTTCTGTAGAATATGGGAATTAAAATGAACCATCTATCTCCCTTTCCTCTGAGGGCTTGCTTGATGCTGTAAACACCTTCCCTTCTAAGCTCTGTCATTTTTATAAGAGCTTGAAAGTACAAAGGCTTGAGCAGTCATCCTCCTGTGAGGTCTTGGAAAGCATGGTGGCCCCTGTGAAGGGCACACTAAAGGATGCCTCCGGTGCAGTGCCTGATTTTAGGTGTCTCTAGGAGGGCAAGAGGAGGCTGCAGAAATGGCTGGGGCAGGAGCGACACCAGCATAGTCTGGTTCCTTTTGGTTCCTCTCTGCCATTCAGCATCCTCCCCTCCTCTTCCTTTGTGGTCTCTGACCTTGTCCTGGTGGTGGCATATTCTCCTTTTCCTGTAGAGGGACAGAGAGCAGCTTTACGCTCAACTCAAGAATATTTTTAGATATAGAGATGTTGAGTACTGGCCTGGTGACCGCAGCAGCCCACTCTGTGTATGAAATATTCAAAAAGCCCTTTCTACAGCAGGGTGTTCCTTGTCCCTTCAGTTCTGCAGCTTTGCTGGTGCTTTTGGGTGGACAGCAATGGCACATGCAGGTGCCTCCACTGCTTCCTTCCCGCTGCCAGCGGGCTCCCTTGCTCTGGTCCCAAAATGCGTTTCATTCCTCGTCAGCAGAGCCAGTGGGGGCCATGGGCCTCTGTAGAAACATTGCCAAATGGCTCAGGAGCTGGAGCGACTCCATGTGCTGGTGGAGGCAGCAAACTCCTCTGTCCCTGCCTCCCACCCGGCTTTGTGGCTCTGTA